AAAAATCAATCTCCTGAAATTGCAAAGATACATTTAATGAATAGAATTCATTACATTATGTTTCTTCTTATGTTTTTAGAAATACAAAGAAATTCCAGCAATACCTGAATTTGACTAATTGCAAATTTCAAAAGCAAATAAAAAATGAAAAGCAAGAAGCAACAATGGAAAGAATCAATGAAAATCAATCAGTCATTTCATAGTAAATAATATCAACAATGAGAAACCAAATATATTTTTACGTTAATTGAAAAATTGTGAAAATTAATTTAACAAGAAAACTAAATATTTTACATTCATCTGAAAGGCAGATCATCTCACTGACCAAAACCAAATTAACCATCAGATGAATTGTGATGGTCTAATAGGCAGGTGCTAGGCAATGTTGCTACTGCTTGGTGCTCTCTGGCGGCAAGTCAATAATGCATGGAGTTATATGCCCCCAAATAACATTTACTAAATGCAAGAATTTAATAGAAGGAGCCATATAAATGGTGTTCAAAATATTTTCAATGATCATTTTTTGTTGTTGTTGGCTTAAACAATAGAGATTAATTTTCTCACAGTTCTGGAGGCTCGGAAGTCCAAGATTAGGTGGTGGCCAATTGGGTTCCCGATGAGAGCTCTCTTCCTGGCTTGCAGGTGGCTGCCTTCTCCCCGTGTCCTCACATGGTGGAGATTGATCTTTTTTTCTTTTTTTTTTTTTTTGCGGTTTGCGGGCCTCTCACTGTTGTGGCCTCTCCCGCCGCGGAGCGCAGGCTCAGCGGCCATGGCTCACGGGCCCAGCCGCTCCGCGGCATGTGGGATCTTCCCAGACCGGGGCACGAACCCGTGTCCCCTGAATCGGCAGGCGGACTCTCAACCACTGCGCCACCAGGGAAGCCCTGATCTGTTTTTAACTACACTTAATTTCTTTTTTTTAAGATTGTTTTGGAAGTGGACCATTTTTAAAGTCTTTATTGAATTTTTTACAATATTACTTCTGTTTTTTTTTTTTAATGTTTTGGTTTTATTGGCCGCAAGGCATGTGGGATCTTAGCTCCCCGACCAGGGATCGAACCCACACCTCCTGCATTGGAAGGTGAAGTCTTAACCACTGGACCACCAGTAAAGTCCCTAAATACCCTTAATTTTTTAAGAGCACTTTCACGTTTACAGAAAAATTGTGCAGAAAGTACAAAGAGTTCCTGTATATCCTACCTCCCCACCTCCTGCCCCTGCTTTCCTCTATTATTATCATCTTGGCCTTTCCCAGAATGTCACATAGTTGGAATCATACAGTATGTAGCCTTTTCAGACTGGCTTCTTTCACTTAGCAATATGTATTTGAGGTTCCTCCATGTCTTTCTGTGGCTTGATAGCTCATTTTTAAAAATTTGTTTTTATTGCTAAATAGTATTCCATTGTATGAATGTACTACAGCTTATCCATTCACCTATTGAAGAACATCTTGGACGTTTCCGATTTTTGGCAATTATCAATAAAGCTTCTATAAACATTTGTGTGCAGGTTTTTTTTTGTGGACATAGTTTTTGTCTCATTTGGGTTGATACCTAGGAGCACAATTGCTGGATTGTATGGTAAGCCTATGTTTAGCTTTGCAAGAAACTACCAAATTGTATTCCAAAGTGGCTGTACCATTTTACATTCCCACCAGCAATGAATGGGAGTTCCTGCTGCTCTGTATCCTTGTCAGCATTTGGTGTTTTGGATTTTAGCTATCTAATAGGTATGAAGTAGTATCTCAATATAGTTAATGCTGCAATTATCTAATGAAGTATGATGTTGAGAATCTTTTCATATGTCTATTTACCTTCTGTATATCTTCTTTAGTGAAGTGTCTGTTAAGATCTTTTGCCTATTTTAAAATTGGATTATTTGTTATTTTGAGCTTTAAGAGTTGTTGTACATTTTGGATACAAGTCCTTTGTCTGATATGTGTTTTGCAAATATTTTCTTTCAGTTTGTAGTTTATCTTATTCTCTTAACAGTGTCTTTTGCAGAGCAGAAGTTTTTAATTTTAATCAAGTCCAACTTATCATGCTTTTGGTGTTGTAATTTGTAACTAAAAGTCATCACCGAACTCAAAGTTAGCTGGATTTTCTCCTACATTATCTTCTAGAAGTTTTATAGTTTTACATTTTACATTTAGCTGTATCACCCATTTTGAGTTAATTTTTATGAGTAGTATCTAGATTATTTTTTTGCATATGGATATCAGGTTTCTCCAGCACATGAAAAGGATAGTAAAAAAAAAAAAAACACCCAACAAAAACAACTATTATTTTTCCATTGGATTGACTTTGCTTTTTTGTCAGAAATCAGTTTACTCTATTTGTGTGGGTCTATTTCTGGGCTCTCTATTCTGTTCTATTAATTTATTTGTCTATTCTTTTACCAGTACCACACTGTTCTGATCACTGTAGCTTTATACTGTTTTAAAGTCAGGTGGTGTCAGTCTCCATCTTTGTTTATCTTCAGTATTGTGTTGGCTATTTTGGGTTTTGTGCCTTGCCAAATAAACTTTAGTATAAATTTGTCAATATCTACAAACTAACTTTCTGGGATTTGATTTGAATCGCATTGCATAGATCAGGTTGAGAAGAACTGACATCTTAACAGTGTTGAGTCTTTCCAGTCACAGACATGGAATATCTCTCCATTTATTTAATTCTTTGATTTCTTTCATCAAAGTTTTTATATAGAATGTGTATATATTTGTTAGATTTATACCTAAGTATTTCTTTTTCAATCATCAATTTTAATGGCTGTAAAAATGCTTAAAAATCTTTTTTAAAACCCAATGACAATATTTACAACCATCAAGCTTTTGGGGCCAGGCCACCTGTTTTCCATTTGTGGCTCATCAAAGTGCTATGACCCATGGGTTGGGAATTTTTCGGTAAGGAGCAGCAGGTTCTACCACTGAGCATGAGACATCTCTCCCACTGCTACTTCTTTATTAGGAACTAGACCTTGCCAGTTCTTCTCTGCTGTGGCCAATGTTCTCACTCCTCAGGTGGATCCATTTTTCATTTACTCACATGCCTCTGGTTGTCTGTAGGGACAGGTTCAGATTTGGAAATTTTTGGAGGGGAGTTTTAGTCAGGCTTTTGTTTATCAGACCTAGAAAATTTATCTGTTCTACAGATCAAATAGGACCTTAGTTGGATGTCTAGTGATCAGCAAATTCCTGTGGGTCACATCACTCTGAAGTCATTTGGGTCCCACTGCTCATGACTGTCTCCGTGCCCTCCTGGGCACCGAAAGTTAAGTACCACTATTTGTCCTCTGCTAATCCAGGCTCCGGTCATCTCCATTTAAATCAGGGAGCTCCTTTTAACTGCAGAGGTTTTCAAAGCACCCCTGGTCACAGAGAACAAACACTGTGGTACTTTTCAATGATGCCGTGCTTCTTTCAGCAATGATTCTCCCAAAGTTGTGGTGGAGGCCCCCTCAGGACTCATGGTTATGAGAGAAGTGAACTGGCTACATATGAGCATCCATTTCAGTATTTCCTTCTCCTTGATTCTTTGGATTTTTTTCCTATACAAATATTGGGGGATTTCTTCCTTCTCATTTTCATTTAGCTCAGTCCAAAAGTCAGTCAATTTATTTAGATGGTACATTGAAACCAGGGTCACTGAAAAGTGCACTCAAATCAACAACTTTAGGTTTATTTACACACATACTTTCAAGTTAAATTAGCAAAACCTTGTAATTCTTTCTCTTCCTGGGGTTGACTTTGTAACTGGCTTTCCATGGGTGCCTGGATCTGATTCAAGTATTAAGAGTGAGAGTAGTCAGAGGTGGTGGGCAAGAGGTGGCAAGGAGATTGTCTTCCCTTTCCAGGGTAACTGCCTCAGGTGAGGTCGGAACAGGGTCTTCAAACAATGCAGGAACAGCCTTTTTAGATAAGGGAAGAGGCTTTGCTTCTGCTGTCAAGAGGGACTTGGGGGCTTGAGTTACTAGGAATTAACCAAATCCTCCTTTATGGCCCCATTTCTATTCCCAGATTCCCAATCTTTCCTGATGATAATTATCTCTCACACATGAAATCCGGTGAGGCTGATAATTCAATTGACTTTGTAATTTGGCAACTTGTAGAAAATTTTTGAGTTTGCTTTTTAGCCTTGTGGTTCAATTAATAAAAAATTCTTTTAGCTCTGTCATAGAAAGAATACAGCTTTTTTAAAAAGTTGTGAGCTGAGAATTTAGGACTCAGTGTGTCATTGCTTTTCTTTAAGTGGCCCAGTTTTAAGCTCACCTCTTGAGTTCATTCTTTGAATTCCTCTTGCTCTTCATTTTATTTCGTGACCATGGCCACTCGGTTTCCCAAAGCCTTGTCTTCAATGGGTACTTCACTCCAGGTGACTGTATGTGGTAATTTCCCCAGCTGTTTTTCATGTATTCCAAGGGCTTCCCAAGCTCACATTAGACTTGTTGAATCTTAGCCTTCCAAACCAGACCAGACAACCAATCTCAGATTCTTCTCATTTCCTCAAAATGCTGTTGCTTGCAATCCCACTTTGGGTGACCTCTGTTCTGTCCTTTTCCCTAGTGTCCTTATTCGACTTCCCTGAAATTTGAGATAACAATTTTGGGGTATTGAGCTTGACTCTTTTGGAGCTGAAAGCTTGCTACAGTAAGAAGAGACAAGTATGTAGCCTTAAAAGAAAAGCTTGGATTGTCTTGGGTGGTGACTTTTCTTTGATCTCTAGGCTATCTTAGATCTGCTCTTTGGGTTGGGAGAGATGATTCAACCCCAGTTGTAGTTTTCATACTGGAGTGAAGCCCCTTAAGAGTCCCCCTTAGGGCAGGATAAGGACCCTCTTGCTCGGGTCTAAGGTCCTGCTACCAGAGATCGAAGTGAAATGTTGGGAGACAAAAAAGAGAAATTGCTTAAGGAAGGTTCTGAATTTCTTAGAGAAGGAGATTGACTCTCAGTTAATATTAAATAAAATAAAGGCTTACAAAAATCCCCATGAGTACCAGGGATTGTGACTGTTCGCCTTATTGCCGTTGTAGCCGGGCAAGGGCCTCATGTCACTCTCGGGGTTCGCTCTTGGTCCAGTAATCCTCTCCCGCAGGGGAATCCTCCTTGCGGGTGTAGGTCAGGATCGCCTTCCACCACCCGCCCGCCGCCAGGTCCCTGGGGCCAAGCAGAGCAGGGCGCTGTCGGGCGCCTGGGGGAGCCGGGGCAGGGACGTGCGCGACCAGGAGCCAGAGTGATCGCGGCCGGAGAGGGAGGAGGCTGCCGGGCCCAGCCTGACGCAGAGGCGGCGGCGGCGGCGGAGCAGGCCACTGCCGGGGCGCCCCGGCCACCAGCATTAGCCCTCTCTCCGCCTTCTCCTGCCGCGGCTCCTCGCGAGTGGGAGTGAGTACGTCGCGCGCCAGCCGGGGGTCGCGGGCTCGGGGCATCCTCTGCAAGCGAGCCCGGGCGGAGGGAGGCGCAGGAGCGCGCGCGAGGGGCGGAGGCGGGGAAAGGAGCGGGCGAGGCGGAGGCGAGGGAGCTGAGGGAGGGGAGCGAGGAGAGGGAGGGGCCCGCCTGCCGCGCCCCGGCCGCTCGGCGTGTGTGGCCGCAGGCGCCCGTCGCCGCTGCTGTCCCGGGGCTGAGCCGCGCCCGGGTTTCCAGGACGGTGCGTGAGCGAGTGTGTGTGTCCGCGCGGGCGAGCGCCGCGCCGGCCCGGAGCCTCTCGCTCGCTTCCACGGGCCGCGGTGCATGTTCGCCTCCTGCCACTGTGTGCCGAGAGGCAGGAGGACCATGAAAATGATCCACTTTCGGAGCTCCAGCATCAAATCGCTCAGCCAGGAGATGAAATGCACCATTCGGCTGCTGGACGACTCGGAGATCTCCTGCCACATCCAGGTGCTGGGGCGAGGGAGTGGACTACACGCCGGGCGCAGGACTGGGGGGCCTCTGCGGGTGGGCGTGCGCCGGCAGGGGCGAGGAACCCAGTCGGGGGCCTGCTAGAAAGCCACATTCCTCTTCCTCCGCCCCCTGAGACTGGGAGCCCTACCCAGGGACGGGGGCACTGTGCCCCGCAGGCACCAGGCGCGCGCTTTGCGTTCCCGGGGCCCCTTCCTCTGGCTTACACGCTGCGCTCAAGTCTCGCTGCGCTTAGGCTGGGGGCGCAGGGCAGCTGCCTCCTGGGGGACTCTAACCCCTCTGTTCCCTACCCCGTCGGGATATATGAGTTCTGAGAGCCGAGAGGGGTACCTGCATGTCGCCCACTTTTTCCTTCCTCCCTTCCTCCACGTGGAGAAGGCATACACCAGCCTGGGTTCACTCATTTCTTTCTCCGGCGCCCGGGCTCCGAAGGTGCCCTCAGTCCCAGGGACCTGCTCCCTCTCCCTGCCTCCCCTCTACCGGTGGCCTTTACTTCTCAGCGTGGAGCGGCGGCGAAGTTTCCCGGGATTGAGCAGAGGCCAGGCAGCCCCGGGCTCCAGCCTTAAGGGATGGGGCGCGCGCTGCGCGGACTGGAGCTACCTCGAAAGGAATCGTGTGAAATCTGAGTGTTTCAGAGAAAAGAAAAGGGCTGTGAGGCCGGCAGGGAGGGAACCCTGCAGGACCTGGGTTCCGGGAAAAAGCGCCCTTTGGGATATTGGTGGACATTTGCTCTCGTCCAAGTTGGAGAAGGCCACAGTTGTTTGGGTGAAGGCAGCTTTGCTGGCAACCCCGTCCTCGGGTAGTAAGTGCCTTTGGGCTTGCAGTAGATCTAGTGTGAGCTGCAGTGGGGTGTGTGTGTGTGTTCTTTCAGTGCATGTATATGTAGGCAGGTATGTGTCCTGTCCCAAGACCCACTTGGGGCATACAACCTGGAAAGGTCATGTCAGGGTTCAGCACTATTGGCTTCTGACTTTTAAATCTATTTACTTATTTATCTCTCTGATTTCCTCTTCTCGCATACCTGAGTCTTGAAGCTCCAGGACAGAGTGAGCTGTTTTAAAAATACTGGGCACCCTACCCCCGTTCTGGTGAGAGATGCATGGAAGCAGCGTCTCCCAGGGGCAAGAATCTGCCTCTGGGCTGTGTTAACCAAGAATGAATGAATGAATGAATGAATGGTCTCCCCCCCCCCCCGCTTTTTTTTTCTTTTCTTGTGGGAGTTTGTGACATGGGGCAGTGACAACTAATTTGTGAGCTGACAACTGGATAAGTTTCAAGGGAGGAATGTGGTGCCCTATGACCTCCCAGGAAAGTAGGCTCCCACTGACTTTCCTGGAGGATCTTGGATTTCATTCTGGGCTAAGCATTGCTGCTAAACTTAATAATAAAAGGATTAGCAAGATAGGCAGTTTTTCTGTTGCCACAGGGTTGCACAGAAACATTTGGCATGTACTGTCTTGTGATTCAGAGAGAGTAGTTTGTGCATTTTGCTTTAAGTCCTAAAGTGGGTATACAAGAACTTTAACCCATATTGAATATGTAGATAATGAAGGAACCAGTGGCAGAGAGTGGAGCTGTTGAGTTCTCCTGGGCTCTCTCAGCCCTTTCTCTGCCCTGTCCCTTTCCCACTTGGAGTTGACACCACTGGTTTTTTTTCCCTTTGGGGGAGGAAGTCTTCCTTAGAATAGATAAATAGTCCCCAAAGGACATGTATGCATTGCCTGGTGTTCTGGGAAACAATAAATTGTAGCCAGTCTAATAGCAATTTGGAACGTTAGAGTTTGTATGGCCCAACTGATGCCAAAGAGATTAAAATGCTATGTTCCAAAATGTTGATTTTGGCATTGCTTAAGAAAATCAAGTGTTTTATTTGGAGGCACATCTGCCCCCAAATGGTGATTATCATTTAACCAATTAAAATGAATCAAAAGATTTTATTTTGATAATTTTGGACCTTATACCTTCCTAGAATATTTCAACCTGGGAATTGATGTTACACTTCTGAGCATAAGGTCACAAAAACCTTTCCGTTTGTTTAGGGTGAGGACAAAATGATTTTTTTTTTTTTAAAAAAAGAAGCTTTTGGAGTCACCAGTACATGCCCTGGGGAATCCACCTGTCTTTCCTTTCTTGCTTGCCTTTTTCCTCCATTTTAGGGAATCACAAAGTTCAGAGAGTGTAAATTGTTACACAGATCTTCCCTCTAAACCCACACAAAATGTGAGTTATGGATTTTTTTTTTTTGCAAAACAATAGCTTTTAAATATTCTTTTCCAAACTATATAATTTGGGCGGTTATTGACAAAAAAAAAAACCCTTTCAAACAAACAATGTAATGGCTCAGTGTCAGCAGCCTGATAGCCAGTTCCAGTAGGAGATGCCAAGAGTCATTTGCTGTGGCTCTTCATAGGATCTAGGGTGCTGTCCCATTATGTCATTTGCATGTGAATGTTTAGGTAGAGTGGAAGAGGAATTCCAACCAGATAGGGAGCAAAAGGAGAGTCTAGGGCATCAGACAGAGGCCTGGGGAGGGGAAAGAGTTGCTAAATGTTCCCTATTGGGCTTTTCCAACTGAGCCAACCCTTGAAGTCTGGAGACTGTGGAAGGACATGGCTTAGCTCTCACCTCTTTCGTTCAGTCTTGCTGCTTCAAGTAGAGTGGAGTCCTAGACATCTTCCCCATTCCATCCACGTTTTCAGATGCTGGCAGGGTATTCACAACTCCTTCTAATGAGCTTGCCATTTTTAATACTGACTCTTATTGAGTAAAATATAGACTTTTTACATTATTTCTTTGTTAGCAAATCCTGGTAAACATGGTTGCTATTATTGGAATTGCCTAGAAATTTGTACTTGTATTTGAATAGAAATCCTGGCACTGTGCCTAGTACACAGTAGGCACTTAATAATTATTTATAGATGTAGATTGAATAATTTCTGTCTGGGCTGTTAAATTCATGAGGTTAGGAACTTTCGTTGTGGTAGTTGTTCAAGGAGTCAGAAGTACCTAGAGCAGAACCTGGCATGTAGTTGTGTTCAGTAAACACTTGTTGAATGAATGAATGCTACCGGCCCAGTATTTAATGTAGCTCATTACCTGTCAGCATGAGGGTGGCATGACAGCATTGGACTGGGAATCAGGAGATACATGATTTAGTTATGTTACCAACCAGTCGTGTGACACTGAGTAAGTCATTTGACATTTGGAATCAATGTTTCTTATTTTGTAAAGTAAGGGAGTTGGGTTAGAATGGATGGCTCCAGTTTAAAAAGTCTGTAGTTTAACTATTACCTAGACCGATTACCTTTGAGTAAAACATTGCTGTTGACAGAGTGGTTGTATACACATCATCTCATGTGATTTTCATTCCTATCCTGTTATCTCCATTTTATTGATATTATTGTGTTCTTGAGTGTTATCTCAATTTTATAGGTGTAGAAAATGAGGTTCAGAGATATTAGGCAACTTGAGTCGCCTGGCAAGTAAGTAGATTGGAAGCCATGTCATTTGGCTCAGAATCCAGAGCCCTTTCTTCTCTGCAGCTGCCTCCTGAGACTTGAGACTTAGGATGCTTTAGGCTGCAAATAAGACAGTAGCCAAGTTAAAGTGGCTTAAATAATAAGGACGCTTATTATCTTACCTAATGAGAAGTCCAGAGGTAGGGTAGCTTCAGAGTTGTTCAGCAGCTCTGCGTGGACCTAGGTACTTTCCATCTTTCCACTCTGCCACCTCAACACGTCACCTTTGTCATTTATAGTCCTGATTATAAGGTGGCTGTAGTAGTTCTGAATGTCAGTCAAGTACTAATACATCCACCATATAAGAGGTCGTGTTTCTTCCTGCATTTCTTTTTATCATGGGGGAACACCATTCCTGGAGGCCCCCATCAGTCTTCCCTTCAGATCCCATTGGCCAGGATTAGATCCTATACCCAGGACTTAGCTGCAAAAGAGTATAGAAACGTGTACGTTTGGTATTTGCACCCTTCCGGGAGGTGGGCTTTGACATCACAGAAGCAATGGAGAGGTGTGTGTACGTGTGCATGTGCCTGTGTGTGTGTAGTAGGGGGCTGGGGAACTGCTGTTGGCTAAGCAAGCAGTAGTGTCTTTCAGAATAGGTCAAACTGAGTTACAATTATTGTTACAATAAAACTGTCAGGAAAGTTTAATAAGATGTTAAGTAAGCCCAGGCTTATTTTAGGCAATCTTTGTATGACCAAATTCCACAACAAGAAAAATTATTGGATAGTCCTTTGTAGTTGGTGTTGTTAAATCAGCTCAGTCCTTACTGAGCTGGTGGGTTCTGGGCAGCTACAAGCCATCTTGTATAGAGCAGGCATCTCTGCTTTTGTTGAAGTGGCAGTATGGCAAAGTGGCTGAGAGCTTATGTTCCTGAGTGCTACTTGCCTGGGTTTGAACCCTGGCTCTACCATTAACTAGCCAGGTGATTTGGGCAAGTCACTTTACCTCTTTAGGTCTCAGTTTCCTCATC